GTTTTTCTATCATGCTACTCTGAATTTCGCCTTTCTTTAGAGCCAGTCAAACCTGCTGAAAAGTGAACATCATAGAATTTAACTTGCTGTTGAATGTACTAAAATATTTCTTCTTTAAAGCCTTTTTAAGAGCCTCCCAACTCCCCACCGCCCAAATCTATCTTCTGTATATTTCGGAAAACTATAAAATCACCACTAAATGGTGTGATAATAGGTATTCTAAACGTATTAGATGAATAAAATATACCTTGAACAACAACCTGGCTGCCTGGGACAAAGAACTGCTGTGTGCCATCGGCTGATTGTGTTGCGTACTGTACGATTGTAGCACCTGGTGGAGGAGCTCCTGAATTTGTCATTGTTAATGCCTGTAGTCCCTGAACACCATCAGATCCTGGGTTAGAAATCTGGATTGTTCCACCTTGGGCTATGGCAACTTAACAGAAAAAGAAAAGAAATATTAGAGAATTTCAAGATTCAGTTTTTAATAACCCCATATTGGAAGAATATACTCTAGGTCTGTTTATTACCACGGCTTCTCGTTCTCAAGTTACCCTTATTTTCTAGGCTGAATGGATGAAGGAACACGGGACAATACTCTAAAAAACTTGTAAACACTTGAAAATATTTTATATTCAGAATTATTTGAAATTCACAGAGCGCGTGGAGTTTTTCTCCTCCTTAGCACCCATCCAACTGAATTATTTAAGAGCAAGAGACACGGAGACAGTCCCGCCCCCTGGTCCTCTCCATTCTCTTAGATGTTTTTAGTTATAAACCGCGTTCTTCTAACATTTAAGAAATGGCCAGTGAAATTGCCATCGAGTATCACAATTACAGTGAATTTGTACCTTTATTTCAGCTAACTGCTTTCCTAAGTTAGCAAAAGAAAGTAGCTTTTAAAGAGATATATATATATCATATTTTGGTCTTAAAGCTCAAGTCTACAAAATTGTAACCTTTACCCTTTTGACTACATCAGGAGAATATATCTTCTGAAACATAAAACGTTAAGCTGGAAGGTCCTGAAAAGGTAACTCTATTGAAAGGATTGTGCGACAATGTGTACCTCCACCAAGTGTCTTGAATGACTACAGCTAACGGTAGCTTCCTCTAAATATGAGACTTGCCAGTTATATTTAAAAGTTAGCTTAAAGTTTCAAAAGAATAATTGGTCAAGTGTTTTGTTTTAAAATTTCACTCTAATAGACAAATAAGTACTGTTTAAAATATCTGAGAGGTCTGTGTACTTTGATATAAAGTTTAAACAGTAGACATTAAGTGGAACCAATGCTTTTTAAAAAAAAAATCACCTATGAACTAGTTAACTAGACTTTAGAATGAAGATTTAAAAACCACATCATCAGAATAACACAACACCTATAAATCAATGTTAATGTCTTACAAGAACGTTACAGTAGTGTTTAAAATATACTCGGAGTATTTCCAGGTCATTTCCAAACGTTTTTAATGGCATCTAAGCAAAAGACCACTTAGGTGATAACCTGGTAGGACAAACCTATCGGAACTATGGAAAGAATAACAACAAATTTACAGTTCATTTAAGGTTCTACTGCCTAACGCGGAAAGATGGATTAACATTTTTAAAAAGATTTCAACACAGACGCAGTCTCTGTGTTTTAGTTCACCGACAAGCCACTCTTGGAGTGGGACGGACATAAACTGAAGAATCAGTTACAGAATGTCAACAGTGCTGAGGCTGAGAAACCCTGATGTGATATCACTTTATGTGGCTCATCTAGAGCATTATATTCCATACACATTTTAAAAACAGGACATTTTTAAACCACAACTCTTCCAAGATTCATGGGTCTCAGGATTCAGCCCTCACAATGAAAGGGTTTGGGAGAGATCTAACTTCTTAAGAGAGAAGTATGAAAAAGACAAGAGATACTGCTTTCTTGGCTCTTCATGGCTGGACATAAGTGAATTGTTTATGTTGTCATATATTTAAATGTATATTTTCAGTTGATAATGAGTTTGATGTCATAGAAACAGTGCTTTAGAAAGAACAGCCACAGGTAGTATAAATAACCACAATGTGTTAGAAGCACAAAGCCTAGTGCAAAGCAGCCACTCAATAAATAAATGAATAAATGGCTATTATATTTTCTCATGGCAGACCAGTATAAACAACTTAAGCCACTTGTGAGTCTAGAAGAGTTAAATGAGGTTATGTTTTCAAATCCCAATCACAGAACTTAATATTTCAACACTAACACAATTATCGAGCTTTTGGACTAGCTGATCTCAGGTGAGTGTAGCTGCCTCCAAGGTAAGAACCACTAAATAGGTAGATGACAAAGATCTTTCTTTTTTCTCTTCTTACTTTCTTTTTGCTTTTCTTATTTCCTTTTTTCTGTTTTACTGTTTTTTTTCTTTTTCAGTAATGCTTCCCCATAGTTCCAACCAAAACTTTGTTGCTTTCACACTGTGAACAGCTGACATACCAAGAATCTGTTTCTCTCGTCATTTTAGTTTCTGGTGAAGTCATTATGTAATTAGATGTGGAAAACAAAAGCTAAATAAACACACGCGCGCACACACACACGCACACACACATACACAAAGTTGGTGCTAGGGAGAAAACTTTTCTTCCAACCAGTCTGACACTTCAGCCTAGCTTTCATTTTTTTATACCAAAGTGTTTTTGATTTTGGTGTTGTCAAGTGACAAGAGGACTTTCCCATCCAAAATGTTATCTCTTATTTGACATTAAACAAGATTTCCCAATGCTTCAGGATCCTGGAAATAGGTTTTGTATGTGCCCATGTGTATTCAAAGATTTGAGGAAGAAACTTACTGGGTTTCAAAAATAATTAAGGCTAGCATAACATGTGTTTTCAATCAACATAAATCAAGATAAATTAAACAGTAAGAAAAAATAAGGTAAGATTAATTGAATGAATTTAGACACATGTTCTATTTTATCTAATTATATTTTCACATAAACTAGTTATATTTTCATAAAAACTTATTACGAAAAATTTGCAACAAACATAAAAGTAGAGAGAATTTTTCTGTCATCCATTTCCCCTGCCTACTCCCCCTCCCCTTTTTTTAAATGGAATATTTCAAAACAAATCCCAGAGATTGTATCTGGCTGATCATTTTCAAATAAAATGACTGGCCCATAGCAAGGCCATTAGTGACAAATCAAAATAAAATACCTTTTCATTTCCCACTAATTTTAACCCTGGGAACATAGGCATTGTTCATCCTTTCCTAGACTGACACATGCAACCGAGGCATAAAGGTTGACTCCCACGACTGCGTACATTTTCGCTGACAGCAATGAAGAGTCCACACTGGTCTATGAATATTAATCAGTACTCGAACAGAAGAAAAGTGCCTTTTAATTTTAGACAATTAATCAGTACTCAAACAGAAGAAAAGTGCCTTTTAATTTTAGACAATATGTATATTTATTTCCACTTACAAGTCATTCTTAAAAACATTACACAAAATAAAAAATAGTTTCATAAAATAATCTAAAGGAATTAAAATCGAAGAGCTAGATTAAATTCTACTTCAGTTTCCATTATTGATTGATTCAAGCCTGCTGGTATGCTATCTGCTTGCAAT